TGCATATCTCTACCTTTCACACATTCATCAACTTCACTGTTGGTTCCATCCAAGGCACATGAAGTGTGGTTGAGTTTAATATAATTGATGTCTGAGTAGCAGAGAAGTTATGGACTTGGCTCATGCCCCTTTTCACATGTCTCATGGCAACAGTAACACTTGAGTGAAGTCTTGCCTATCTTTTTTGTTTAAATCTGTTTCATATCTTGTTTATCTTACTTAACCTGGAGGGTGAAATTGTCAGTTTGATTATTGATCAGTTCTGGTTACTTATTAACAAGCAGCACAATTAAAATCTATGTTCATATTGTAACTTGAATAATTCCTATGAGCAGTCAGTGTTCTGTTCTTATACAGAGAAAAGATAGAGCCTGAAGAATACTATTCTTAGCATTGATTTAGCAACTATAGAGCAATCATACACACATACACTAAGGGGTTTTCTGCACTGCAGCCTTAAGCTGCCTAGCTCTTCTGTACATGCTATCTGGAAATGAAAGTTTAAGAAATCTATTTCCAAATTTCAACCTTTCGTCCTCTTTGGTTTATAATGATGACCAGGTTTCTTATTTGGATTGTAGTTACCACTGACCCTGATTGGTGGATTCCTACTTTCTTTATCCCTTCTCCCCCACCCCCAGTTCCAAGAACATACTGCAAATTGCTTTCCTTAGTGTGGGCAACAGAATTTGAGATTATGTAGTTTTGTGTGAGCCCCACACCTTCATTTGACTCCTCCTTACTTTCCCATCTGGTACAGCCACCACTGAAAAAGAAAACATATTTTTGTCATTCCTGCTTCACTTGGTTGCAAGGGAAAACTGGCAGAACTGTTGTCAAATTCACCTGATTAAATAAAAGGAAAAAATGTCACATTTTACCATTCTGCCTGTGAACTAGAAAAACAAATGAAATGAAGAAAAGAAACAGAAGTTTACCATTCTGGTCCCTATAGGAGAGGGCAGGAGAGTCAGCAGCCCAGAACAAAATGATACTGAAAGGAAAGGCAGTCCTACCACAGTGCATGGTAGTTGTGTGGAGTGGGCAGGTTTAAGCACATTGAAATCCAGAGTGCAGTTGAACAACATGACACAAGTCAGAAAACACTACTTTTCAGTATTGAGAATGAGACTGTACGTTCCTGCTCTGAAGAAACAGGCAGCGGCTTATATTCATGTTGGGAAAACCTGTATTCTTCTGCAAATTGGTCTCAGTCACTGCTGCCATTGTGTGACCTGTAAAGAAATCTTAAAGTCATATTGCTACCCCCACAGCGAAGGCCTAAAAGAAGCTTTGGATGAGTTGATACAGTCGCTAGGGACTAGCATGACTCAAGAGAGATTTTGTCTTTTTAACGGGTGTGCATTTTGCCCTGGAAGGATGTCCCATCCTCAGATAGGCAAACATGAAGACAGAAATATCAGCATCTTTCAGCCAGCTTTTTTTGGACCTCCTCGGAACACTGGCTTTTTAATTATGATTAGGTAGCTTGGTAGTACTAATTTGCTTTTTAAATTTCATAGGATTTTTAAAAATTCTACATATCAACACAGCTCTCTCCATAGTGGTGCTCTGGAAAGCTCAGTTTCCATCAGGTAACTAAATCAGCTAGACAGTAAAAACAGATGACAACAAAATAGAAAGCACACAGGAACGAAAACAGCAAGCAAAAATTCTTGCATGACATCAGTACTTGTGAAGAGAGTAAGGTTCTGAAAAAAGATATTTGGCATCAAAAACATAATTGGGATGCTAGGTTAATTTGTCTTAGAACATTCCAACTGAGGGACATAATAGTTGAAAAAGCCATAGTGTTTCCCTGCCATTTATCTCATTTCCAGAAATGAGGGGCTTTCAGAAGAGATTATCTTTGTGCCCAGACTGGCTCACTTACCACTCACGTGGGATGATATAATCCTTCAAATACTTGGGTTTGAAGCAATGCAGGTTGCTAAAAATAAGGACCCAGTTTTGAATACTCTGGACTGAAAGCATGATTTTCAAGATTTATGTATTGTTTTGAATGTATGCCCCACATTCTGTTATGGCAACAAAGCAGAAACCTTGGAAAGCACTATTTCCATTAGGTAACTAAATTAACCATTCTAACAATTATCAATTAGCTGCATTGAGAGGCTTAAAAAAGCAGCACTGTATATACAAAGCAATTCAGTGGCATAATGTCATCATCCAGGAGACTTCAATTATGTCTGGCTAGTATAAGTGGTCTGTGCTGTTTTTTTGACCCAAGATACTTTCCAGGCATATCATATAAAATTTGAAAATTAGTGAAACATGAGAGCACATCATAATTAATTAAAAATGTGGAAGTTGGTCCTTTTTTTGTGTGTAACAAAGATGTTCTTTCACAGAGTGTACAGGAAATAAAACTAAATTAAAAGAAAACACATCACAGTCTAACTCTGTTCCAGCAAAACTGGCTTGATTTTATGTGCAAAATTAAATATAAGGTTCAATTTGTCCCTACTGGAATAAATGGGCTTTACTTACTTTTTCAGGTTTGTGTTCAGAGTATAAAAAGGTCACCAGAATTATCCAAAGCACTGAAAGCAAACATGAACACAAGTGCCCTTTAGTCGGGCTAATTTAAGGGACATATCCATGCGTTTCACTTTGCAACATCATTGAAGTGAATTGCCACTACCACCTTCTACGTTCTTTCAGCTTCTCAGACTGTTTTAATTTGAAAGTCCTTGATGATTGCCTATCCTAATGCTGCCTTAGACTCAAAGCCCAGAGAGAATTATCAAAGTGCTGCTATATAAGAGTAAGCACAGCTTACAGCAATTTTTTTTTTAAAAAAAATCAATTTCTTCTTCTAATTGTAATGCTATCAGAATACCTCTTCTAATTTTCTTATGCAACAGTAGTTGGTCTTATTGCAATTGCACATATAGAAGACGCTCAGCTTGACATAGTTGCAATCTCAGCCTGGATTTAGGGAATGAAAGAAGACACAAGAAATTGCATGGCAGCTTTAATATAGTATAAACTTGCTGCTTTGGGACTGTAGCTGGTTTTATTCTTCTTTCAAACTGGCAAGAGCTGTAACAAGAACTCAGGATGCAGTACACAAAGGCAGACTTTCCTCTGGCAAGTGGGTGGAACCATCTGTGATAATCTTCTGCCCATAAAGAGCTGGCAGCATCAGCAGATGACGCAAATACAAGCAAGGAAGCCTCTGAACAGTCTCTTTCCTGCTGGGAATCTTTTGCAACCCACACATCAGAGGACAGTTAAAAAGATGGATATCCTTAGCTTAAAGAAATATTAAAGGCTGTTAGCACACAAACACATCAGCAGACAAAGTCCATCTGACAACATTTCCAGGCTAGGAATTGCTCTGTGATCATTTTCCAGGTTTTAATTGACAGTGATTTCCATTTATAGCATTCCCACATTTTCCAACTGTTGTCCATCTTTTTTCCCCATACAAAAATCCATTACACAGGAAAGGGCAGAATAATTTATTTATTTTATTTATTTATTTATTTTATTTGGTTTGTCAATTGCTTACAAGATAATAGGTATAAGTAAAAACATAGTTATGAATACATGGATACATATAAGAAAAATAAAACAAACAATAGGACAGGGACAGTAGGCACGTTGGTGCGCTTATGCACGCCCCCTACAGACCTCTTAGGAAAGGGGTGAGGTCAATAGTAGAAAGTCTAAGGTTAAAGTTTTTGGGGTTTGGGGAAGAAGCCACAGAGTCAGGTAGAGTATTCCAGACATTGACCACTCTGTTGATGAAGTCGTATTTCCTGCAATCAAGTTTGGTGCCATTAACCTTGAGTTTGTATCTATTGTGTGCTCTTGTATTGTTATGGTTGAAGCTGAAATATTCATTGACAGGTAGGACATTGCAATGTATGATTTTATATACTATACTTAGATCAGACCAAAGGCAGCGTAGTTTTAGGTTTTCTAGGTCTAGAATGGGCGTTGGTTCTTACCTGATACGCCTCTTCTCGTGGAACTGCGTAGAGCATCCAGAGAGTGGGAGGTGCTTCAGTCCTTCCTTCTCACAGGCTGAGTTATAATTGAAGAACGCTCCTCCTTCCTCCACGTGGCTCCCTGCGTTCTCCCAGTTTCGCGAAGACGAGAGG